AGCAGGAAACAGGGAGAAGTAAACAGGACAGTTTGCAGGCAGTTTGCTGGGAATGAAAGGAGGAAAGGGAAGAGGAACCGGGCACCAAGCACCAGAGACTGCTCTGGGAAGATAACTGAGCCAGGATTTCCTGTATGCTTGGCTTTCTGAGGGCTGTTTGGTGGGTTTTTGTGTTTGGGTGTGTGCTCTGAGAAGCTGAGTGGACTCATTGCTGATTAACTGCTGCCTGGGTGTGACAAAAGGCCCTAACAGAGGGCCTAGCCAAGCCAGGTCCAGGAGATGTATATAAGGAGTCAGTCCAAGTGACCAGGAGAGCAGCAAACAGGACAGTTTGCAAGCAGTTCCCTAGTCAGTTCACAGGGTAGTTTGCTGCCCCTTTCAAAGGGAGCCTGCAAGGTAAGTTTCTTTTTCAATATGTAATTAGGGCTGACTAACTACATAGTTTTATTTTGGTAGCTAAAACTCTCAGCTAGAACAAGACTTAAGACCCTTGTTTAAGTAGAGTCCAGAGCAAGGGGAAGTTTGCCTGGAAACTCTCTCTCATATTCCTTGACTATAAACTTGCTGAGAGGAAAGAGATTGCAGGGAACCCTTCAAATCAAGGACCAGAAAATAGGCCAGCTACAGAGGAGTTTGGTAAGGAAGGTTTGCTTGGAAAGAGAGGCACAAAGTGAGAGGCAGCCGATTAGAAGACCCAGAGACATGGCTGGAGGACATCAAAATGCCAGAGCCACTGCCACTTCCAGTTCTTGCTCTGCTTCCACCAGTAAGGCATCTATCCGAAGCAGGACCAGGCACCATTAAGGCTTCCACCCAGGTCCTGGTTTGGTGCTGTGCAGACTGCAGCTTGCAGATTCCTTGCAGTGTCCACCAGATGGGGCAGTGCCTGCAATGTGAGCAGTGCCTTCTGGTGGTGTTCCTCAGGAAGAAGGCAAGAGTGCTGGAGGAGGAGGTAGCCAGGCTCCAAAGCATCCTCTGCCATGAGAACTTCATCAGTTCCATGCTGGAGGACACCTCCAGGAGCATGAAAGAAGGACTGACAGAGGTGGTGCTAGAAAATGAAAAGGGCATGGACTCCCAGGATGGTGGAAGCTAGAAGCTTGAATCTTCTAGCAGCAAGAAGAAGTCATCACCT